AGACATGTACCCCAGCTTCAAGGCTCCTCTTTGTTTTCCATATCTAGTAAGCCATTCGACACCACAACTGCTCCATCCCAAGCAACACTTTCCATCTTCATTATGTACTGTCTGTACCACTGTCAACATCTATTATACTACATCATGGCCTTATTTACTTATTGTCTCCTTTGATCAAAATGACAGCTGTGAGGGCAGACTGTGGTCTGTTTTGTTGCTTGCTGTATAACAAGGACCAGAAGAGTATACGGCACAGAGTGGGGACCCAATGGATGTTGAATGAATTAAGACTGCACCATTCAAAGGAACTCAAAATCCTTAAAAAAAATACTTAAGTCTATAATTAGGACATGGTATGAAGTTTGGCATTACTAGAGAGCAAGAATACCTTTTCTCAGCCATGTTCATAGCTGCTCTGTTCACTCACAATAGCTAGGAAATGGAAACAACCTAAATGTCTTCCACTAGATGAATGGATAATGAAGATGCTGTACATACACACAATAGAATTCTGTTCAGCTACAAAGAAAAATGAAATCAAGAAATTTACAGGTAAATAGATGGAACTAGAGCATATTATACTGAGTGAGGTAACCCAGGCCCAGAAAGACAAGCACCGCAAGTTTTCTCTTATTTGTAGATGCAGCTCCTAATCTTTAGATGTGAATATATAAGCTGAAGTAACCACAGAAACCAGGAAAGTAAAAAGAGACGGGGGGAGGAGAAGGAACTGTAGAGAATGGGATAATAGGTCACAGGTGCTATGATGGAGAAATGGGAAAAGTTGAGGCAGCTTTATCTGGGGAGGGGAGAGGGAGAGAAGTACTGAGGAAGAGGGACAGAGGAGGAATAAAAATCATGAGGATGATTGAAAAGGCCATAGGGAAACACTATTTTATGTTTATATGTATGTATGTATTTTAAAGTATATATACACATTACATATGTATATATGTATAAACTATCTAGCAAAAACCCCAGTGACAGACTTAGCCCAGGTGGCCTCCAGTTTGAGATCTTCCTGCCTGGACTGCCATAGAGTTGTTGGTCAGGTGAATTAAAAAGATTTCTAAAACAATACTGGTAATTGCTGTTGCTCTTGGTTGCCTCCCAGAACTTGAAGGTTAAGACTCAACTCCTGAAAATACCATATACTTCAGACAAAGGAATTAAGAGGAATCAAACTGAAACTAATCTGGAAGTCTCCTCCATGACTGGCTCTCAAAGGTGCTATGTAAGCTGCTAAGGGAGAGGATCATTCCTAGTTCTACCCAGCTGTACAACCTATGAACCACAACAATGATTTGACTGGCAAGATATTCCCAATGGTGTAAGAGTAGCATTTTTTTTAATCTTTGAGTTAACCATCAGCTGTTTCACTGGAATTAAAGCCTGCTCAACAGGAAGGAATTTAGGCCTGGTGCTGTAAACCTAGCTAACTATCCATGACTGGAGTAGTCATAGGCCCAATAGCCTAAACTAAAATAATGTCTATTTTCTAAAAACATATCCTTTTACCCCCAGATAAGTGAATAGCTGTCACCCTTCATTAAAAAAGCTTCTTTTTGCAACAGATGGAGACTATCACAGAGATCCACCATTGGCCAAAATGCAGAGAATAAGAAAGAGTCTGTGAGGTGCCCAAACCCAACTGATACATCTGTATTGTAACCCCTACACCTAAGGCTCGTGGAAAATCATAGAGAAGGGGTGGAGACATTTTAAGAGTCAGAAGCCCAGAATGTCTGCTGTTAGATATTCCCTAGACATGTTTAAAACTATACCCATGAACTCCCAACAATATGAATAAGGCCAGCATAATGTCAACACCAGTTGACATGTCAAAGTGGAAAGGGGAAATTACACACTGGCATACCTCTAGATGAAGAACTACAAGTGGTTAAAGCCTGCTGAAAGAGGGAGAATTAGTCTCCTTTAGGAATAAACTCCCAAATAGGTTGCCCAGTCCCAAGTAGTCAGCCCTGGACACATGTACATACAAACAAAGCTAAATAGACTCAGTAGATTATATATACATGTGTGATACACACACACACACACACACACACACACACACACACACACACACACACACCCCAATAATAATAACCAAAGATACATTAAAAACAATTTAGTACTGGCAGGCAGTTTTGGATACATAAAGCAACCAGAAAATATGTTAGTTTTAAGTGTATTCCAAGAAATCAAGTCCCCCCGCCTCCCCCCCGGAGCTGAGGACCGAACCCACTAGTGCTCTACCACTGAGCTAAATCCCCAACCCCAAGTAATCAAGTTTAAAAAAGAAAGTTCAACTATATAGACTCAAATCCTAATCTAGAATGATGAAACTTTGAGATAGCTCTATTAGTTATAACAGAGCAATATGTCAAGCACATATTTCATCACACTGTTAGAAAGCACATCAAAAGATTAGAAAGACCAGGCAAGGAGTCTTTCTGATAGGCACTGATAACTCTGAATACCTCATTTTGAGGAAAATCATCAATTCTCAAGAAGAAACAAATTAAAGGCCTGAAACCCTGGTGACATAGGAGGAAAAACTGCTATAAAAACTGGACTTGTTCTAAATGGCCACCAGTTCAGAATTACACTGCCCTTGATCAAACTATTTGGCAATTTGTTTGATCACCAAAATTTAGAAATCTCAGCAGGTCTCAGGTCTACTAAAACTAAAAACTCCAGAAAGCTTAATAGAATAACTACTGAAATCATAAAGGAGGCAACTTCAGACAAAATGAACGCAGGAATAAACATGACCAAGGAGAAATTTTACAATGGAGGTGTTCATGCTTGTGAGTGCATATTTATCTAAGTGGACTGTTTACTGACCCCCTCATACTCATTCTAAGCTATGCCACATGTGACAGTTTCTCTAGTATGTCAGGCACACTGTCACCTTTGCCAAGAATATTTTCCCCCAGATAGCCCATGGCTCGTTCACCCAATATGATTCAAATGTCACTCCTCTGGGAGTGGGAGTTGAGGGTAGGCCTTCTAGAAGGCCTTCACTTTCTATCTACTTATTTTATGTATATGGATGTTTTACCTGCATGCATGTCTGTATACCACTTGTGTGCTTTGTGCTCAGAGGCCAGAAGAGGGCATCAGATCCACTGGCACTAGAGTTACAGAAGGTTATGAACCATTATGTAGTCTCTCGAAATAGAACCTGGGTCCTCTGCAAGAGCAGCAAGTGTTCTTTACCACTGAACCATCTCTCCAGCTACTACCTATATTTCAAACTCCTCACCCAAACTCGTTCTTCCCTACACAAAACCAGAGCTCATCTGGAACCCATACTTTCTCTCCCCACCACTACCCACATAGATAAGCTTTAATCAGACCTTCAATTTGCTTCTAGCATAATTTATTCAACAGAAATTTTGTGCTTTACACTATTTCAGTCATCTATAGTATAAACTGTCCCCTTTATAATGCCAGGTTATAAACCTGGGCTGGGGACATAATTCAGTAACAGAGCTCTTGCTTAGCATATAAGAGACCTTGGCCTCAAGTCCCAGCCCTGTAAAATATGTAATGATGCTTATTACCTATTTATAAAAGACAATAAACACGAGAAAGAAAGAAACTCACAGTAAATATTAAGAGATAATAAGATGCTGGAAAAATAGAAAAACTAGAAGATGGCTGGTGAGAAGGCTCAGTGGGTAAAGGTGCTTGCCACACAAGCCTGGGAATCTGAGTTCCACTCAGGGACTCCCTGGAAAGAGAGCACCAACTCCACAAAGCTGTTCTCTGATCTCCACATGCATGCTATAGCACATATAACTAAAGACATGTTCATATGAGCACACACGTGCATGCACACACGTGCACACATACACTAATACTAATTTTTTAAAGTGTGGGGGGCAATTCAAGAATGCTAGGGGTTGCAATTTTGAAGTTATGTCACAGAAGAACTTGTTGCAGGAGTATTATTTATGAAGGAAAACTGAGGAAGGAGAAAAGAAACTACATGGGGGAGTGGTTGCAGACAAACGTCAGCAGCTACTGAATGCTCCCAAAGGTGGGAAATGCTTAAAGCATGTGTTAAGGCTGGGGACGTGGCTCAGTGGACAAGAACATTTGCTGCACAAGCATAAAGACCTGAGTTTGGATCCCAGTACTAATGTAAAAAGTCACACACCTCTAACCACAGTACTGGAGCTTGCTGAAGCCAAAGAACCAGTAAGCTCTAGGTTTGGTGGAGACCTGTCACAAGAGAATAAGGCAGACAATATCAAGAGGGTATTATCTCTGCATGTGTGGATACAGGAATGTGAAGTTTAGAGTGGCGAGAGCTCAGTGAATAAGCAGAAATATTAGCAGATTAGAAATATAGTTAAATGAGAAGTAGCTTCTTTGTTACTGAATCATGGGTTGAAACCTCATGGATGTGGTCACAGATGTACGTACGTACAATAGCATAGTCCTAGAATGTAAGACTCTTCTGTTTTGTTTACTGCTGTATTCCCAACATCAACCACACAACCTGGTATACACAAGATGCTCAATAAATTTGTGTGAAGGAATGATACAAAAACCATTTATTGAGTGTTTAGTATGTGCTACACCCTGGTTGAACTTTGCATCCTCACTTTTCTTAGCCCTAGCCCTAAAAAGGAAGGTAGTATGGTTTTCCAAGTACCATTCCAGGTAGTCATGGGGAAAAAGGATAGAGTGTTAAAATTTGTGATGTTTATTTATTCATTTTTTAAAAAATAGACAGGGCTTTGTTTTATCACTCTGACTGGCCTCAAACTCAGGATCCTCCTGTTTCATCCTCCAGAGTCCTAGGATTATAGGTGGATACCACCATATCTGGCTTTTATGTATTTTGTGTGTCTGTCTGTGTATGGTGTGTGATTGGGATAGAACCCAGAGCTTTACACATTCTAGGCAAATGCTATACCACTGCCCTGCATCCAGAGCCAATACAGGTGATTTTAGACACTATGCTCATGGAATGAACTCACTCTGTGAGGAGAGAACTCTTTCGGTCAATGAACTTGAGAGCTTCAGCCAGTGTCAACTCCAGGAAAAAACCATATCCCAGGGCCACATAGATGCGTGAAGTATCTGGGCTGAGGAAAGAAGTCAGAGGAAGTAGAGGAAATCTTTATTACCACTTGGCATATTGTACAGTTTAAGGTGTTTCCTATTCCCTCCAATTCCCCAAAGTGAAGGCTCCGTAAGGGCAGGTATTTCATGTTATTCACTGTCACACCCACAGCATGTAGCTTATATCCTAATGCAATATAAAAGCTACTAAAGTAGATATAGAAATATAGAAAATATTACGGCAGGGCAGTGGTGGCACATGCCTTTAATCCCAGCACTCAGGAGGCAGAGGCAGGCGGATCTCTGTGAGTTCGAGGCCAGCCTGGTCTCCAAAGTGAGTTCCAGGAAAGGCGCAAAGCTACACAGAGACATCCTGTCTCGAAAAACCAAAAAAAAAAAAAAAAAAAAAATTAGGAAATACTTGTTGAATGAAAGAAGGGAGAAACTCGGGGTGGGGGGTGGGGGGGGAGGAGGGAGAGGAATACACTCACACCACTGTGTCAACGAAGAAGTTACAGCCCAAATCCACCTGCATATATAAGTCCGAGTGATTAGTTTCCTGTAGGTCCAGGAGAAAAGAAGTAGGTGTCAGTGGCCAATTTTTAAGGCAGGTAAAAGGTTTTGTTCTGGGGTTTCTCTTCCCACCTTCCTTCTTTGTACATACACACACAAACTGATACCCAATTTAAAAGCCTTTACCTGGAGTCGCTCAATGACATTTCTCAGTTGAAGGTATACAGACAGCTGCTCATATACCTTGTCTCGATGATCCAGCACCTTTCTGATATGTAGAAATACAATAGTGAACATTAGGCAGCCCTATTTCTCTTGAGATACCTCACATCATGGCCTAACAGGCATTTTAAACCAGGTGTGGCAGTTCACGAAAGCAATCCCAGTAACTGAAAGACTGAGGCAGGAGGATTTGAGTTCAAGGCCAGTCTGGTCTACATAGTGAGACCCTTCATTAAACACACACACACACACACACACACACACACACACACACACAAAAGGTGGAGTATAGACAGAGAAAGGCACACCAAGTATTTCAATAAATACAAGTCAGACTGTATTTCATCCCAAGCTCTACCTCTTACTAGCAATGTGTCTTTGGCAAGTAGGAAACCTGTTTGGGATTTAGTTTCCCCACATATAAAATAGAGATGACAGTATTACCTCATAGGACTCATTAGAATCAAGTGCTTACTAGCAAGTGTTTTAAATTCCAGCCAAATGATAAGCACTATCTATTACTATTACAAATATTGCATTTTACTCAGTACTTTATGCCAATTAAAATGTCCCATCTTCATCCTAACTATATCCCCCATCTCCTTTAGGATGCTCACACAACTCTAGCTCTGAATACCTAACTTTCAGTTCAGATAAATAATGACAGCAATAGTAATCATATAGTTACTGAGTCTTTAGTGTGTTTCAGGCACTGGAGCTAAATTCCTTTTTCAAAGCAGCTTATCCAGGTTATTTGTTTTATTTTCTGAGACAAGAGCTGAGTTTCCCAGGCTAGCATTGAATATGTAAGCACACCAGACAATCCTTTCTTCTCAGTCTTAATATAATAATAGTTGGATTTATGTGAATTTAAAAAAAAGTATTCTTACTTAATAGATTTATTTTGTGTATATGTCTGGGTGCCATGGTCCACACGTGTAATTCGGACGACAGCCTTTGGGAGGTTTTTCCCTTCCACTATGTGGATCCCAGAGAGCTAGCTCAGGACACGGGTTTGGGGGCAAGGCAAGCCATCTTGCTGGCCCTTTTTTTTTTTTTTTCTTTTTTCGAGACATACTCTCAGAGCCTAGGCTGTACTCAACTTTGAAATGTAGCTGAGGATGATCTTGAGCTCTGGATCCTCCTGCTTCACCCATCCTCGTACAGGAATTACAGGCCTGTGTCACCAAACTGGGATTTAAATTTTATTTTTAATAGAATCGTGTTCTATTGCCAAGGCTGGCTTGAACATCCTCTCCACTAGATAGGACTACTGGCATGCACCAGAGAGCCTGAGCCTCGTTTCTTCTAATTATTTTCTTTTGAGACAATCAGTCTATAGCCCAGGCTAGTCTCTAGCTTTCGAAGACCCTCCTGCTTCTGCCTCCCTCATGCTGGAATTACAGTCCTGTGTTATCACGCTTGGCTTTGGGTTACATTCTTTACCTGGGCTGACACATTTAAAACTCAAACCCACCACATTAAGAAGGCCCCATAAACTTTACCATTTCACAGATGAGAAAATTTCATAAAGCATAGAGAGGAAGGGTGAGGCACAACTTGTTCATAAGTAATGGTTAAATGGCCCAATCAGAAACACCGTGGGTTCGTAATGACTATTTTAATCCGACAAACAACGTCAGAGGCTCTGCTACAAGAGCCAAGTTCCAACCAAATCACAGCCCGGACATCAAACTCTCTTCCCGGCCAATCCGAAAGTTTGGTCGGGATTCTGTCCCACCCACCACATGGAATTTCTCAAACGTCACGCCTAGAATCTGCGTGGTCACTCACTGCAAGTCTCGCTGCAGTACGTCACTGATAAAGGCCTCGTACCGCAGCACTTTCTCTCCTACAGTATCCAAAGCCCGCCGTTTGGGGGGTGTCGCCATGATGGGCTCCTGGGGAGTGAGGAGAGGGGGGGGGAAACCACGTTGAGCGCTCCTGTTTAACTTCACAAAGTTCTCTCCAACCTCTCAACGTTGGGGATGACTTCTTTCGGCTCGTGCTACGGGGTTCCTCCTTCTGCCCAACCCGACTCTAAGACTCATTCACTCACCGGTACCCAAGCGCGGTGCTTACTTACCTTAGGGCCACCGGCAATAACTGTATGAACCGCGGCTTCCGGGTGGCGCGTGTGGATGACGTATTTCCAGCATGGGAGCCAACCAAATTGGTGGGAAGGGCGGTCCAGCATGAGAGAGAGAAGACCCACTTACAGGGAAGTGCTGCAGGCAGGCATTAATGAACCCCTGGAGATAGCTGAATCTTACCTAGAGAGCGGGCCAGCTGTCTGCTAGAAGGCCAATGGTTGTAAGCCGGCAGGTTGCTGGTTCAGGTGAAGTTAATGATATTTGGCGGGTTCTGAGGGAAGCTGGACTCACTGGAAGGTAGGAACAGGGAGTTAATCGTTTACAATTTATTTATTTGCGCTCTCTCTCTCTCTCTCTCTCTCTCTCTCTCTCTCTCTCTCTCTCTCTCTCTCTCTCTCCCTCTCTCCCTCTCTCCCTCTCTCTCTCTCTCTCCTGTGTGTGTGTGTGCGCGCGCCAGCAGTTCTAGAGTTACATGCAGTTGTGAGCTAGTTGTGGGTGCTAGTAACGGAGTTTACGTCCTCTGCAAGAGCCTTTTGTGCTCTTAATTGCTGAACCATTTCTGTAGCCCCATCTCCACTCTTAAGAAATTTTCTTATTTTATCTGTTTTGTCTGCATGTTGGTGCACTATGTGCGTGCAGTGCCTATGGAGGCTAAAAGAGGATGTTGGATTCCCAGAGGTGGAGCTACTCACCGTTTGTGAGCTCTGGGCCTCTACAAGAATAGCCAGTGCTCTTAACCACTGATCTATTTATGTAGAGCCCCGTTTTTTTCTTTTAAAATCATTTCTATTCTTTGAGAATTTCATACATGTATGCAGTGTATTTTCATCATATCCATTCCCTACTCCCTCCCTTCAACTCCTCCCAGACCCCTCCTACCACGTTCTCCTCCCACCTTCATGTCCTCTTTAACAAAAGCAAACCGAACCCCAAACAAAAAAACGGAGTTCACTTAAGCATTTAATAATTTAAAAAGCACAAGAGTGCCTGTAGACGAGCAAGGATTATGGTTCTAATCAATAAAGAGGGCGGTATATCCTGTGGCATCCTGTCAGTTTGAATATTGATTATATACAAACATATATATATGTATATATACACATATATATATACATACATACATACATACATATGTATATATACACATATATATATACATACATACATACATATATATATATATAAACATGGTTTGGGTTTCACCGCCTATAAAAGAAATGAGCAAGAACACATAAAAATGTTTAAACAGAGACAAATTTTAAGAAATTAATCTTGAATGACTCTTGCTTGGTGGCTTGCATTCCATGACCCAGACTTAGGTAGAGACTGGCAAGATGTTGTGCTTAATCACCCCACCTCATAGTTATATGGTCCATCATTGGAGTCCTCTACTGAAGATGGGTTAACTTGTAGTTAAGACTAAATAGTTCCTTCTATTTTTATTTAAATGTGTAGATTTTCTATTAATTTATTTTCAGATAAAAATTTTCTTTGTTGCTGGGCGGTAGTGGCACACGCCTTTAATCCCAGAACTGGGAGGCAGAGCCAGGAGGATCTTTGTGAGTTCGAGGCCAGCCTGGTCTACAGAGCTAGATCCAAGACAGGCACCAAAACTATACAGAGAAATCCTGTCTTGAAAAAAACAAAACAAAACAAATTTCTTTGTTTTCCTTTTTTTTTTTTGTCCCAGCAACCACATGGTGGATCTCTTTGTTTTCCTTTTAAACAGTAGCATTTAGCTTAGCAAGTGAAGGGCTGAGCCTGGAGGATAACCTAGACACTAGAATCCCCTAAATGCTATTCCCCTTTGAAGGTCCTAGAGCACTTACCCCTATCAAGAAAGCTTTTCCAGATTATTCTTGCATTCAGTATGTAAAACAAAGTTTTATTGGGTTTTTCTTCAAATGCTCAAAACCTAAGCAAATCAAGTATCTCTTTGTCCATAAAACACGATGGTTGTAAAGGAAATATTGAAATTAAAAAAAAACCGCATGGCTGGGTGGTGGTGGTACATGCCTTTAATCCCAGTACTCAGGAGGCAGAGGCAGGTGTATCTCTGAGTTCGAAGCTAGCCTGGTCTACAGAGTGAGTTCCAGGACAGCCAGGGCTACACAGAAAAACCTTGTCTTGAAAAAAAAAATCCCATGTTACAGGTGTTTAAAATTAAATTAGATATTAGGGATTAGATTAATCTTAAAATAGATATTAGGGAGTTAGAAAATATTTAGTTAATCTTTATTTGGTAAGGAAAGCAGTTCGAATGGACTAGAGTTGGGTCTATGTAAGTCTATTAACTATATTTAATGCAAATTTTTCTTTTTTAACTTGAAAGATGCTTTGGACTAGCAAAATGGCTCAGTGGGTAAAAGGTGCTTGCTAACAAGTCTGAAAGCCTGAGTTCAGTCCATAGGATGGATTGTAGATTACTGCTGTTGACTGACATAGAGAAAGAACACTTCTTTTTATAGTGGGAGGTGGTTACTATAGAAGATTCATAACTGGTTGAACTGCAAGGAATATTTTTGTTGCTGTATTCTACATTTTTTTGCTGTGGTATAGCTAGCTGCCCAAGGTGGAAGGAAGTAATCATACACCTATATCATTCTACATCTTGGGGAACACTGCAGAAGAAGGCATAGAAAGAATGTGAGTTGGAGAAAGGTCGAGCTGTGTTGGGCATAGCCATTACTGTCTTGAATCAGAGCAGTTGTGATCACTTGAATGAGACTTTTATGAGACCTGGCCTATTAACATTCCCACATGGAAGGAGAAGGGAGGCTTCTGAGTCTCAGTGAGCTTTCAAGATCCTCATGAAGCCTTCATGAGATTGTCACAGAATCTGGCCTATTAATATTCTTTGTTGAGAGAGTAGAGAGGTTCATGAGGTCATGGGATCAAGATCAAAGATTATATATAAGTAGTAAGCAAATGGGCTGGAGTGGAAATCTTTGGAAGCATAGCTGCCTGTACATTTCCTGGGCAACTGAAGTAGCATAGCTTCTCATGAACCATCCATGCTGCGAGTGGGACTATCCAGTGGTACAGCTTTTTGTGAGTTCCTTATGCTGCAGATGGGAATAGTTAGTGGGATAGCTGCCCATGAGTTCTTCTGAATTTCTCAGTTGTGTAGCTGCCTTTGAGTCATTCATGTTCCAATAATTCATCCCAATATTTATTCATCAAACTTGACTTGGACAGGATCCTGTTGGTTTGCTAATACCTTCTCATTTGCAGTGAACAGACATTTCTTTACATCACCTGGTAAAAATTATGAGATATTTTGTTCTTTTTTTGGTAGTTGGTGTGAGTGATATTGATTTCATGATGTATGTCTCAGTAAACTCATTATTGGTGTATAGAAAATCAATTTTTGAATGTTGATTTTGTTTTCTGCTACTTTGCTGATTTTTTAAAAATCAGTTCTAGTAGTCATTTGGTGGAGTCAGTAGAGTCTTCATCTGTTTCTGCTTATAAATCCTTTTTTTTTCAACCTCAATAATAGATGTTTCCTCTTCATGGGTCTTTTGTGTGGAGATTTTTATCTAATCAAGAACCCATCTGTGTTTGCTATTTTTTGTTGTTATAGTTACACCTATTGAAGCTTTCCTATATGTATCTTGTCTTTGTCTTCTCACTTGGCTTTGGAGTCTCCCTTTGTTCCTATTCTCAAACAAAGTCTCTCTTCTCGTCCTCCCAGTCATGTGTCAGTTTCTTTTGCTTGTTAGTGAGGTGCTCAAGCTTGGTGTGAGAGACATCTTTGCTATTCTGATTAAGCTCCATCTTTGATAGGCACTGTGGATCTGTGTTTAGGATAGATAAAAAGTAGAGCTTGATTGTCCCCACTTTTCCTTTCACCTACCTGAAGTAAAACCCTACCAGTGTCTATAGGGTGTAGGCTTTGGTTCATTTTCCCCTGGAGACTAAACCTTTTCTGTGAGAAGTGAATCTGGGTGGATTTCACAGTAGTTTCCTTAGCCAGCACCCTGAAAAAGGAAGAGTTGCTTTTGACCCTTCTACTGTAAGAGTTTGCAAACCCATTGAAATGTCCTATGCCTGCAGTTCCCAAGAACTTCACACTGTCACACTAACCTACATTTGACACATAGAAGTTCACTAAAAGTTCTAGTTTAACTCCCTAGTAGCTTATATGTCATTCAGTTGATATCTACCCCCAAGTAATCAGATGCTTAGGTCCTGCTTTCTCCCCGAACTCACTTGTTTTTCTTCGTAGTGTTTGCTGGGTGACATCAGTTTTCTTTTCTTTCTTTTCTTCTTTTTAGCTTTTTTTTGTGACAGGGTTTCTCTGTGTAACAGCCCTGGTTTTTCTAGGAATCGCTTTGTAGACCAGACTGGCCTCAAACTCACAGAGATCTGCCTGGGATTACAGGTAATCTCAGTTTTCTAATGGGCACAAGAAAAGTTGCTAATTTCCAACTTGTCTTTTCTTGTTGAAAGGACAGGAAAAATACCTTTTCCATGCCTGTTTGACCCCAGTTTGAAGCTGGAAGTCTTCTAAAATATTCAGAAATTATTGCCTCACAACACTTCATTTCACATCACATACCTCAGGTCATTTCAATGGTCTTTGAGCACCAAACCTTTCAAAATTGAGAGATCCTCCTTGGTAGTATCACTTACTTCTGTGCTAAAAAGTAGTATTTGGGTCCCATCCCCTAGAATCCCCTTCCATGGCTATGGTTTTGCACAAGCATGGGAGTATCATAGATGCCATAGCAAAAATTGCATAGCTGAGTTGTGTGTTGTAATGTTTTCAGACAGGGAATATCATAGAACTTTTGGGGAGCTTACTTGTAGGGACCATCATCTTGGAAAGGTACCCTTCACATATAAATAAGGATGTCACCTTGCTTATTTCACTAAAGGGGTTGGGGGTAAAGATGTGCCAATCTGGGCTAGAGTGTTTGGATCTGAGCTGTAGGATCTTCATTACTTATAGAAGCTGAAGTGGCCCCCTATGTATGACATGAGAGCAAGAAAGAACTTATCTCCTAAGAGTTGTAAGTATAGGAAAGGGATGGAAATTCAGGATGGGCCCATCCTCTTCTGAATGATAGCACTGGAAGAAATGGGTTAAGTCAGGTAGGTACAATGATTCTCTAGAAAATACCATTGAGGAGGAAGAGAGAGATATCAGGGTACTTCCCTTCTGGTAAGGAATCCTAGAGGCTGTGAGGGAGTTCAGGGTGGGAAAGTCACCTTGTGGGCAGTACCACTGGGGAAGAGACAGGAGACATTGTAGTGGTGAAGTTTTGCCCGTGAGTGCTACCACAGGGAGAAGTCAAGGAGAGGGGAACAAGCTACCTGTAGGACTCTTAGGGCTACATCTGCTATTCATCAAACATGTACCCATCCCATGCATAGTTCGAAGCATTTTACATATATCAACTCATTTTTTCCCTCTGAGATGTCTGACTTTGTGGCACAGCTACAAGTGCTTTCCCCCAATCCAGACTAGAAAGGAATATACCCAGGGCTTTTACTACTTGTATATTGGTTCATTTTCACATTTCAATCTTGGTCCATTTAGAGTTTGTATATATGATATAAGGTATGGATCCAATTTAACATTTATTTACAGCTTTTTTTTTGAGGCAGGGTCTTGGCATATAGCTAGGATGAATTGAATTGTCTGTGTAGTCCATGCTGGCCTTGAACTTAAAATCTTCTTGTCCCAGCCTTTCAACTTCTGGCATTGCAGATGTAAGGCACCAAGTCCAGCTTAATCTGTTTGCGAATGTCTGTGTTTAATGGATAGAATAATGTCTACCAAAAATATATAGCCACAGAATCTGTGATTGTGACCTTAGTTTGAAAAAAAAAACTTGCGTATTTAATTAAGGATCTTGAGGTGGGGCCACCCTAGATTAAACAAATGGGCCCTAATCCAATGAAAAATATCCTTATATGACAAAGAAGTGAAAGACATAGGAGGTGGTATGAAAACTGGCAGACATTAGAGTCAATGTTATGGTTTATGTATGAAATGTCCTCTGTAAAGGCTCATGTGCTGTATACTTGATCTGTAGCAGGTGATGCTATTGAGAAGTAATTAGATCATGATAATTTCTTTAATGGATTAATTCATTGATGAGTTTATAGTGGCTCATAGGAAATGCAGTCTAGTTGGATAAAGTAAATCACAGAGGGCATGCCTTTAAAGGGTAGATGTTGTCCCTATACCCTTCTTTTCTCTTTCTGCCGCCTGTTTTGGTTTTTCCAAACAGGGTTTCTGTGTGTAGTCCTGGATGTCCTAGAACTCGCTTTGTAGACCATGCTGGCCTTGAACTCACAGAGATCTGCCTGCCTTTGCCTCCTGAGTCTCTCTCTACCTTTTGACTGCCATGAGATAAGTGGCTTTCCTCCATGATATCCTTCTGCCATGACTTTCTGCCTTGCTAACAGGTCTAAAAGGAAAAGAACAAGCTGATCATGGAATGCAATGTCTGAAACTGTGTAAGCCTAAAAAAAACTTCCCTCATTTTTTTTCAGGTCTAGTCACAGTAATGAAAATGATACTAAAACATGGTGATATGTTTATAAATTAAAGATCAAGGTAGTAGCTTAGTGGTAGAATGCTTACTTAGCATGCATGAGGCCCTGGGCTTGATTTTTGGAACTACAAAAATACAAACCAAGGCATATCAACAATTTCTGATGCCCCTAAAAGCTAGAAGAGAGCCATCAAATAGATTTAGAATAGAAACAGAATAGAATAGATTTTCTTCAAAAAGATTCTGCACTAATCTCATGATTTTGGACTTCTAGCCTCCAGAACTGTGACAGAATAAATTCTGTTGGTTTAAACCAGCCACTTTGTGATAACTTGTTACTTCTGTCTTAGGAAATGAATATACTATTTATTTAAAAATTCACCTTCCCCCCTCATGATTTGAGATAGTATTTTAGTTATATACATAGTTCTTTATAGACATTTTACACTGTTCCACTGGCTTGTATATTCAAGTGTCGTGATTACATGGTCTTATTTATTTGGTTGGTTTGGTCAGGTATGGTTTTTTTTTTTTTTTTTTTTTTTTTTTTTTTTGTTTGTTTTTTTGTTTTTTTGTTTTTGTTTTGTTTTTTCGAGACAGGATTTCTCTGTGTAGCTTTGCGCCTTTCCTGGGACTCACTTGGTAGTCCAGGCTGGCCTCGAACTCACAGAGATCCGCCTGGCTCTGCCTCCCGAGTGCTGGGATTAAAGGCGTGCGCCACCACCGCCCGGCCAGGTATGGTTTTTGAGATATGATATTGCTATTTAGTTTAGGCTGGTTTTGAACTTATTCTGTAGTTTAGGTTTTGAGATAGCAACCCTCCTTTCTTCTGGTGGGATTTCAAGCATGTATCACATGTTCCCACACTTTTAATTATAGAAGCTTTATAGAATGTTCATATATCTCATGAAGTTAATCTCTGTTATTGGTCTCCATTTTTTAGGGGTTTATAGTTATCCTTTCATGTTTAACTTTTCTTATGCATTTTAGGTAAATTTCTTTCCAAATTGATTCACTTAATTATTATGCTATACTATTTGAAATATTTATTAGAAAAACACCAGAAAGAGGTGAATAATCATCCATTGGACTGAGAGATTGGTCCCAATTTTTTACCTTTTCCTGTAGCCACCCTTTTGCCCTTGATGTTTTGCTTGCTTGGATGATTTGCTTTGTTCAGTGTTATATGAGAAGAGAAAATATGGCATTTCTGAGGCTAGGCCTTTGTGGTTGTTTGAATAGGTATGGCCCCCTAGACTCATGTATTTGAATGCTTGGTCCATAGGGAGTGGCACTAGTAGGAGGCGTGGCCTTGTTGGAGTAGGTGTGGCCTTGTTGGAGGAAATGTGTCATTGTGGGGGTGGGCTTTGAGGTTAAGCTATGCCCAGGGTCGGACACGGTTTCCTTCTGCTGCCTGTGGATCAAGATGTAGAATTCTCAGCTCCTTCTCCAGCACCATATCTGCCTGCATACCATCATGCTTCTTGCCATGATGATAATGGACTAGACCTCTGAAACTGTAAGCCACCTCAATTAAATGTTTTCCTTTGTCAGAGTTGCTGTGGTCATGGTGTCTCTTTACAGCAGTAAAAATGCTAAGACATCCTTGGATTTGTTGTCTGGCTTGCTCATCCTCTTTGTATCATTAGAAGAAGACATGTGTCACAGATGTGTACTACCATGCCTGGTTTGAAGTATTTTCTCTTGAATTAAAGTGTATGTCTGAGGGGAACCCTGCAGGTGTCAATATAGGTAGTGATCCACAAGAGATGAGAATGAAAACTCGATTCAGATTGACCTCATCTATCTGGATCAGACTTTGGGAAGTCTCATGCCAGGGGATTCATTGTCAACATATTTAAAACAGTACAACTTGGGAAAGGGTGTCCAGGCAACAATCATTGCAGTCTAGGTGCACAGGAAAGCTTCAGGTGTGACTACATAGAAACTCCTTTGCAAAGTACATGTTACCTTAAGGGTGGATTCTATAGCTAAAAGGTCTAGAATCTAATGTGGTCTCCCACCAAGATAGCATAGAGGTTAGCAGGCCACAAAATACTTGTGACATCATCCCCACTAAGGGTAGGTTATATTAACTAGGAGCTAGGGAGAAAAGTCTAGGATAAACATTTTGGGGGATTTGGGTGAGGCCTGTCACCACAGATAGCAAAAAGGTCACCAGATCATTAACAATATACACTTCCAGTGTTCTGGGCGGGAAAACACGTGTTTTATCTCCATTGAGAAGAGAACCCCATGTATTTAACATTCCTGGTTTGTCTAGTGATTTGTGGGAGCAAGAACCTTTGTTCCCCCAACATCTCATCCCTTCTAATTTTTTAAAAATAGTAGCTGTAAAAGAGGCCATGGCAGAATGCATTGCCTCCATGGCTAGTCTAATTAGTATAGGCAAGCATCAGAGAATTATAAGAAGAGCTAACAGAGCATCTGTGAGAGCCCCAACTGTACCAGATGTTACTGTTTTGAGTGTGTGGATATCCTGGTGGGCCCCGGGACTTCAGAGCAAATCAACGCCATGGCGTGCTGGGTTTGCTTCCTGTGCCTGCCTTTCACTTGGAGCGGGCTGCTGCAGAGGCGAAAGAGGTGGCATCACCAGCTGAAGGCCTGCCATGATCTAGAGGGAGCAAGCCCTCTGGAGATGTACAAACCAGTGTCTGCTTGGAAGAGACAGCCAGTGCGGGTACTGAGCCTCTTTGGGAATATTGAGAAAGAGCTCGAGAGTTTGGGCTTTCTGGAAAGAGGTTCTGGTTCTGAAGGAGGAAGGCTGAAGTACGTGGAAGATGTCACGAATGTTGTGAGGAGAGATGTGGAGAGATGGGGCCCCTTTGACCTCGTGTATGGCTCAACACAGCCTCTAGGTCGCTCTTGTGACCGCTGCCCTGGCTGGTACATGTTCCAGTTCCACCGGATCCTGCAGTATGCGCGCCCACACCCAGGGAGTCAGCGGCCTTTCTTCTGGTTGTTTGTGGACAGTCTGCTGCTGACTGAGGATGACCAAGTTACCACAACCCGCTTCCTCCAGATGGAGCCTGTGACCCTCCAGAATATCCGCGGCAGAGTCCTCCAGAATGCTGTGCGGGTGTGGAGCAACATCCCAGGGTTGAAGAGCAAACACTTGGCCCTGACACCAAAGGAGCAACAGTCCTTGGAAGGCCAAGTCAGAACCAGAGCCAAGATGGCCGCCCAGAAAGATGACCCCCTGGTGAAGAACTGCCTTCTCCCCCTGAGAGAGTATTTCAAGTATTTTTCTCAGAACCCACTTCCTCTTTACAAATGAATCATGATACAATGAAAGAAGAGGTTTTCCTAGAACCACAGCAGCCTTCCTCCCAGGGTTTTTTTTTTTTCTGCTTGCTTGCCTGTTTCTCCTGTTCGGTTCCCAAGATGCCTCCCGTGCAGCCCACTGTGGGGGTGGGAGGCGCCCACTTCTGTGGACAAGATCCTGGTGGGATAGCCCGCCACGTATCTCCAAAAGTGTGTGTGTGTGTGTACCTGTTGTGAAGTTTTTCAAATATAGGCTTGTTACCGGTGGGGGGGGGGGGGGGGGAAGAAGAGCTAACAGAGGACCAAGGAAAGGGAAAAGCCATCCTCAATTCACCCATCTCTTAATTAATTTCTGCTAATATTTTTGCTATGAGCAAAATGGATGTAATACGGCCTATTCCACATAAACCTTTATAAACCTTAGCATGGCAAAACAATATCATATGTCTCTTATCACAGGTGTGTCTTTTATCTCCCAGGGGAGATAATCCAAAAGGCATTTGGATTATGCATTGACAAGAATTAACATGCAATACAGTCATTAAATATTGTTATATTTAATAATAGCATCATTTTGGGTTAGTCCTTGTTATTTCCCCAAAGTCTCAGCTTGATGAGTTAGAATCTTGATGTTTCCCCAAGTTATCAGCTTACTTACCTTCTTGGGACATCTCCTTTTGATGGATTTGTTGTCTGCCTTCAGATGTTTTATTCATCTGGTGGGCTTTGGATGTCTTGGTCAGATGCATCAGATCAGGAGCCATCTGGGGTTTCCTTCCTTCATTATTCTGAAAAGACACAAACATAACCTCGCCTGATGTTAACATTGGCTCTTTTCTCATTGATTAGTTTTTAGATCAGTTCATTTAATGTATACTTTAGGTTGTGTCTCCTTCAGAGCAAAATACTTTTGGGCAGCAGCAAAAGCATGATCCTTTAGTATGTGAGGATTTAGGTGGGTATATGTAATATCCCTTTTTTATTTATTAGAATTTGCCAGTTAAGTATTTGATGGTATTATTCCACAGTAGCTTGAACCTGTGGATAAGAAGTGATTTCAGTAACATGACCAATATTAAAATTTTTCAAATAATTTGCTAGCATAAGCAGGACCATTATTATTGTTTAGTTGTAATGGTTTCTAGAAAGGTCATGCATAAAGGGCTATTTGGCAAAGTTAAGTTCCATATAGGATACAATGGTATTTGTCTGGAGCTTCCAGGGCTCCATGCCATGCCTGGGGCTGTGCTCTTTAGCTGATTAGTTAAGGAGAGGCATTGTGCTTATCATGTCTGTAGTGTACTTTGAGCACAGATCTTTACCTGACAGCAGAAAATGTCCAAGATACAGACCATATTTTCAGATGTCAAACTGATGTCCATTTACTACTAATTATGCATTAGGAATTTAGAATACTGTATAAAATTTATCAGACCAAGGGAAAGCATAAAACTAAAAAAGAAACAAAATTCATTTAATAACAATGGTCATTAACTTCAAGATTTAAACTTAAGACTTTCTTAATTTAAGATTTGGGAATCTTTAAAATTTAGGACAATTTTAATTATGAGCTTAAGAAGACTTGTTTTTTATTAGGTAACAGGATACTCAGAAGTACCTGAGAAATAATCATAGAAAATCCTGAAGTAGAAAACAACTGGGTTTTCCCATGTAAGCGTGAAAATTTATATCTAGCTGATATTGTATATGAAATAAAATTGTGAACAATATCAAAGCATAACAGTTTCATGGAGGAACAACTTGCTGGAAGGCTCTAGTTTTTACTATGTTTTGTAGGCAGTTTGAGGTAACAAATTCTCAAGCTGTACCAAGAAGAATTTTAAGTAAAAAACTTCAAAATAATCTAGTTCTTACTGATTGCATTTCATTTATTTATTTATTTATTTATTTATTTATTTATTTATTTATTTATTGCATATATATGTCTATATATGTCTATATGTGTGTATGTTGTTATGCCCAGATCACAGGGACCCCCATAAGTACTTAGGTGAAAATCTATAAGTTAGCTTTTTGTTAACCTGAATAGAACTTTATAACCTTTAGTAAAAGATGGTTGCCAGCCACTCCTGTGAGGTCACCAGCCAAGATGGAGAAAAGCCAAGTGGTTGCTGTTTAAAACATGTTTTTTTAAATAATATGTACTTGCACACATATGCTCAGTTGAATCCAAGTTACACACACATACATACAGCTAAAACTAGCTTACATTTACACAGGGTTAAATCCAAGTCACATATGCATTCACATACACCCCCCCATATATATAATTTTTTTTAACATAAACAGTTTGCCATGAAGAATCATCAGCTATTTTCAAAATGAAAACCAACCAATATTAACTTTTCAATTCAGTATTTGCAGGTACAAGAAACCACAACATAGTTCACATCCCCTCTGATCGTCTACAACCTTTAGTACAAGAAACCACAACATAGTTCACATCCCCTCTGACCTTTTAAAACCTTAATTCCTCAGACATTTACTTTAGACAAATTTCCCTCTTCCTTTTTTTTTAATTATTTTAGTCTCCTGCTGTCTCTTATTTTTTTTTTAATTTATTTTAATTTATTTTGCAATACAATTCAGTTCTACATATCGGTCACGGATTCCCTTGTTCTCCCCCCTCCCGTCCCCCTCACCTTCCCCCCAACGCCCCCCCCCCCATTCCCATCTCCTCCAGGGCAAAGCCTTCCCCACAGACTGAGGTCAACCTGGTAGACTCAGTCCAGGTAGGTCTAGTCCCCTCCTCCCAGGCCGAGCCAAACAATCCTGCATAGGCCCCAGGTTTCAAACGGCCAACTCATGCAATGAGCACAAGATCTGGTCCCACTGCCTGGATGCCTCCCAAACAGATCAAGCCAATCAACTGTCTCACCCATTCGGAGGGCCTGATCCAGTGTGGACCCCTCAGCCATTGGTTCATAGTTCATGTGTTTCCATTCATTTGGCTATTTGTCCCTGTGCTTTATCCAACCTTGGTCTCCACAATTCTCGCTCATATAAACCCTCCTCATTCTCGTTAATTGGACTCCCAGAGATCCACCCAGGGCCTAGTCATGGATCTCTGCATCCAGATCCCTCAGTAGTTGGATGAGGTTTCTAGCACAACAATTAGGGTGTTTGGCCATCCCATCACCAGAGTAGGTCAGTTCGGGCTGTCTCTCGACCATTGCCGGCAGTCTGTTGTGTGGGTATCTTTGTGGATTTCTGTGGGCCTCTCTAGCACTTTGCTTCTTCCTGTTCTCATGTGGTCTTCATTTACCATGGTCTCCTATTCCTTGTTCTCCCTCTCTGTTGTTGATCCAGCTGGGATCTCCCGCTCCCCCAAGCTCTCTTTCCCTCGACCCTCGCCTTTCACTACCCCCACTCATGTCCAGGCTGTTCATGTAGATCTCATTCCATTTCTCTGTCATTGGGCGATCCCTGTGTCTTTCTTGGGGTCCTGTTTTCCGGGTAGCCTCCCTGGTGATGTGAGTAGCAGACAATTCATCCTTGTTTCATGTCTAGTATCCTGCTATGAGTGAGTACATACCATGTTTGTCTTTCTGAGTCTGGGTTACCTCACTCAGGATGATTTTTTCTAGATCCATCCATTTGTCTGCAAACCTCATGATGCCATTGTTTTTTTCTGCTGAGTAGTATTCCATTGTGTATATGTACCACATTTTGTTTATCCATTCTTCAGTTGAAGGGCATCTGGGTTGTTTCCATGTTCTGGCTATTACAAACAATGCTGATATGAACATAGCTGAACAAGTGCTCTTATGGTGTGGTTGAGCATTTCTTGGGTATATGCCCAAGAGTGGTATAGCTGGATCTTGGGGGAGATTGATTCCCAATTTTCTAAGAAAGCGCCATATTGATTTCCAAAGTGGTTGTACAAGCTTGCATTCCCACCAGCAGTGGAGGAGAGTTCCCCTACCTCCACATCCTCTCCAGCATAAGGTGTCTTCAGTGTTTTTGATCTTAGCCATTCTGACAGGCGTAAGGTGGTATCTCAGAGTTGTTTTGATTTGCATTTCCCTGATGATTAGGGATGATGAGCAATTCCTTAAATGTCTTTCGGCCATTTGAGTTTCCTCTGTTGAGAATTCTCTGTTTAGTTCTATAGCCCATTTCTTAATTGGACTGTTGGGCATTTTGATGTCTAATTTCTTGAGTTCCTTATATATTCTGGATATCAGTCCTCTGTCAGATGTGGGGTTGGTGAAGATCTTTTCCCATTCTGTAGGCTGTCGCTTTGCCTTGTTGACCGTATCCTTTGCTCTACAAAAGCTTCTCAGTTTCAAAAGGTCCCATTGATTGATTGTTTCTCTCAGAGTCTGTGCTACTGGTGTTCTATTTAGGAAGTAGTCTCCAATGCCAATGCGTTCAAGACTACTTCCTACTTTCTCTTCTAGCAGGTTCAGAGTAGCTGGATTTATGTTGAGGTCCTTGATCCACTTGGACTTAAGTTTTGTGCACGGTGATAGATATGGATCTATTTGCAGCCTTCTACATGTTGATATCCAGTTTTGCCAGCACCATTTGTTGAAGATGCTTTCTTTTTTCCATTGTGCACTTTTGGCTTCTTTGTCAAAAATTATATGTTCATAGGTGTGCGGATTAATGTCAGGGTCTTCAATTCGATTCCATTGGTCCACATGTCGGTTTCTATGCCAGTACCAAGCTGTTTTTATTACTGTAGCTCTATAGTAGAGCTTGAAGTCAGGGATCGTGATGCCTCCAGAAGTTGTGTTATTGTACAGGATTCCTTTGGCTATCCTGGGTTTTTTGTTTTTCCATATGAATTTGAGTATTATTCTTTCCAGGTCTGTGAAGAATTGTGTTGGTATTTTGATGGGGATTGCATTGAATCTGTAGATTGCTTTTGGTAAGATTGCCATTTTTACTACGTTAGTCCTGCCTATCCATGAGCATGGGAGATCTTTCCATTTTCTGACATCTTCTTCAATTTCTTTTTTCAGGGACTTAAAGTTCTTGTCATAT